AAAATGAGTGTCATTCTATTTTCTCCAAAAAGCATGAACCTGCAGCATCCGCTCTAAACTCTACATGTTTCTCCGTGCTTCCTGGGTCGGCACAGCATAAATGCCCTCAAGAACACACGTAAAGTCAGGGGACTCACCGCCCTTCACTCTCTCCCAGAACGGGAACTGCGCCCCCACCCCCCCATCAGGCGCGGCACTTACCGTCCCTCAGTGCTGGCTGCTCGCTCGTGGGGGTCAGAGGAGTGATCAGAATAGAGGAGTTGGGGGGAGACCGGGAATCTGGTGTGAGAGGAGCCCTCACCAGACCTGGCGCCTGCCCTCCCTACTTCCTGAGCACTGGGCGCGGAGCCCGAGCTGCCTTTTCAAAGGAACTCAAAACGAGGGCTGAGCCTTCCACACTGCGGTGGCTTTGAAACAACGTAGAGAAATTAAACCATTTTCAATGTTAAGTGCAAGCTAGCAATATTCTGACGTCAGAATCTCTCAGTCAAGTCTCTCTTACACCCATTAAGAATTATTAAAACTTCAGTAACACTTGAAGCGGATGATTCTGAACAAAAACGTGCTAAAACAAAACATTAAACAGCAAGTGGAGCCCTAGCCGGTTTGGATCAGTGGATAAAGCGTCGCCCTGCGGACTGAAGGGTCCCAGGTTCGATTCCAGTCAAGGGCATGTACCTTAGTTGCAGGCACATCCCCAGTAAGAGGTGTGCAGGAGGCAGCTGATCGATATTTCTCTCTCATCCATGTTTCTAACTCTCTCTCCCTCTCCCTTCCTCTCTGTAAAAAAATTAATAAAATATATATTTAAAGAATAAATCAATAAATAAAAATAAACAGCAAGTGGAGAGATAAAACAAGTATCACCTTCTCCAAATCCATAAGGAACTTTACATTCCCACTGAACCACATTATTAATCTCAACACAAATTAACGCTGGGTGAAGGCAGTGACCCTAGTCACGAAGCCTTGACAGAAAAAATAAAGGTGCTGGCGAGCTTCAAACGCACCACAAACATCTGAAAATAAGGCAAGCACCACGACTGCAGGCCCAGGAGACTGCGGGTGGGTCCTGGCACTAACCCAGCCTATGCTTAGTGTAGTCTACAGTGTCTGTCACTGCACTGTTGAATTAGGAATTGGATAAATAAGAGCTATTCCTGGGAGGAGGACATGGCACAGTTATTAAAAATGAACAAGCTTTAAAATGAGAATTCAATTCCCACCTCACTAGGTGCGGTGACATGCAGAGCACTACGCTAGGCCACGTGAGGAACACCAAGACAGTAAAACATGATTCCTCAACTCAGAACTGTCCTTTGTCATCACATGTGTACGCCAGGAACAGCCAGCATCGGAAGTGTTCAAGCTCTGGGGCCAAAAACCCTTCTGGAAATCTACATCCTGTCCCCAGAGAAATGACCCCTCTCCAGCCACACCTTTCCAGGTGCGGAATCCATGAGGCGCATTTCTGTTCCCAGCAGTGGAGACCAATGCGTTCCTCAATGTAAAGGCAGGGACAGCTGGAACCCCACCCCAAGACATAAAGGGCTTCCAAACACCCTGCGGTGTGACACAGAAATGCTCTCAGCACTTCTGCAGGCAGACCAAGGCCCGAATAGTCCGACCCCGCCCTGAGGTCGGAGGAAGGCCAGCCGCACGGTGTGAGCGTGTACAACGCACGCGGGTGCTTTTCTCTCCTGAAGCTCACCAGCAATGTCTGTCTTCTGTCTGGACAAAGGGGAGATCTTCCAAATCACAATGTTCCTATTTTCAGCTACCTCACCGCTGAGCACCTCCTCTAGACAGTGTTGCTTAGGAGTTCATTTCCTCTCTAAAGCTTCTGAGGGATTTCTGTCAGTAGAGACTCGGGAGCACAGCCTGAGGGGGGAGTACAGACTAGATACCAAATAGCAGGACAAAGTGAGCAAGAGGCTTCCGAGTCCTGGTTACAACGTCACCCCGTATGCCTCCAAATACAGGGTTTAAACCTGCGAACAGAACTTGCCAGGGGTGAGCTGACAGAGTGCAATTCCTAACCCGACCAAGGCTCGTCCCCACCCCAGCTCTGCATAACCTGCAGGTGCGACTGCACGTCCCCGGCAGAGGGTGAGGGTGAATAGAGATGCTGCCCTCCATTCTTCAGTGTGAAATTCTCCAAACTTCTCAGAACATGAAAAACACAAACTTAAGTATAGGCACAAAGTAGTATTTAAAAGGAAAGCAATTTATTATCCGATGTCTTGGGAATGTATTTTTTTTCATGAACCGTAATTAAAAGCTCACCAGTTACTGGAGAGTTTTCAGCTACAAAGGTGAGTAAATTTATTACAAATAAAATTTCACAAGAGAATCACGGACCGGTCCTCATTACTGGTATGTTCTATTACACATCGTCCCAGGGGAGCCACTGATCAAGTTTAGGCAGTTTCTTGAAAGGTGGGTATCCCTGTACACATGGTGTTCAAAAGGGGTTGGCCCACACTTGGGTAACCTAAAAACTTAGCTACCACATGTTTTCTACTTGGGGGGTAAAACAGCGTATGTGCTAAATAACTTACAAAATGCCTTTGAGTTCCTCATATAACATTGCATTTCTACCACTCGTTAATATTAGGGAATAAAAGGCAAGTAGGAAGGTAGAGGAGTTGGTAGGTAGTGAAAGAGCAAATCCTTGTCAGCGGTAAAATCTCAACATCAGAGAGCGGGGAAAGCAGGGTCGTTCTAGCAGAGGAGAGTCCAGATGCTTCTGGCTGCGGACATCTCACCTGCCTCCAAGAGTAACTGAGCCTGCCTCTCTCACAAGTGCTTTGACACGGCCGTCACTTCCCCATTCACACTAAGAAGGCAAATAAAGGACAGCTAAAGCCACTCCGAGAAGATCAGCTTTTAGGCTTTAATTCAAAACTGATGGAATGAAATACATGCCTGGCTAAGCAGTGGAGCAGTTACAGATAAAGAAGTGTTAGGAGACTTTAAACATGAAGACCAGAGAGTAAATGAAAGATACCATATTATAGATTATCTATAATAATAAAAGCATAATATGCTAATTAGACCGGACAACCTTCCGGCTGCGAGGGAAGCCGGTGCCGGCAGCTGGGGGAAGGCCAGCTCTTGCACGAATTTTGTGCATCGGGCCTCTACTAAAATATAAACTTGTTAAAGAAAACAAACACATATATTATTGTTGTGTAGCTGGGCCAGAATTTAATATACAGAGTGGGCAAAAGTAGATTAACAGTTGTGAGTATGCAAAACGGTCTCTCCCTGTATTGCTGTTTATTCACTGCTGTGTTTTCATTACGAGCAGCTGGACACCTGCTTCGTCCCCTGCGTTCGGAGCCACAGGCATAGCTCGCAGGGACCTCATAGCTACTACGGAACTCCTGGTCGGGAGATGGAGCTGGCTTGTAGATGTTTAGAAAACAGACTTATTTTTCCCCCATGTATGGCACAGTTTTCAAAGTTTTGCCGGATTTTATTTTATGACAAAACCATAATGGTAACTGACTTTGAAAAGAATGCCAAATGGTTAAAAAAAAAGCCAGGACTTACCTGAGCCCACACGGCCAGCCCACCTCTACCCGGGAGTTCTATGGTAGCTGTGAGAGCACAGCGTGCCTTATGCTGGGGGGTCAGGGTGCGCTTGGAGCCAGCTTGCACACTGTCAGGAGCCCTTAAAGAGAAAAGTTGGTTTTAAGTGGGAATGTTCAGAACGCCCTTCCTTCACCATGGGCAGCAGAAAGCTGCGGCTGTGGCTGGCTAGTGTCTGGGTGCGTCTTCCTCTAGCAGAGTTTAACTCACTTGGCTGGTTTTGCAGATTAAAAGGAAACTATGCCACCCTGAATGCCTTTTCTTTATACTCCTAACTATTTGGCTATAGTTCCATCAGGAACTTGGTTTAGTCACAACAATCTCTTTCCTTTTTTTTTTCTTTTGGTTAATCCTCACTTGAGGATATTTTTCCATTGATTTTTAGAGAGAGTGGAAGGGAGAGGAAGAGACAGAGAGGGAGAAACATCAATGTGAGAGAGACACATGGTTTGGTTGCCTCCTGCACACACCTGACCAGGGCTAAGATCCAGCCTGCAACCGAGGTGCATGCCCTTGACCAGAGCGTAACTCGGGGCGCTTCAGTCCACAGGCCAATGCCCTCCAATAAGCCAAACCGGCTTAACCAGGAGCTGCTTCGTAAATAAAACGAGCAATAGTTTTTTTGTGGGTTTTTTTTGTGGGTTTTTTAAAATATATTTTATTGATTTTTTACAGAGAGGAAAGGAGAGGGATAGAGTTAGAAACATTGATGACAGCGAAACATCGATTAGCTGCCTCCTGCACACACACACCCCCACCCCCCCCGGGGATGTGCCCACAACCAAGGTACATGCCCCTGACCGGAATCGAACCCGGAACCCTTCAGTCCGCAGGCCAACGCTCTATCCACTGAGCCAAACCGGTTAGGGCAATCGTTTTAAGTGTACCTTCAAGTAGGTGCAAGCTCCGTGGCAATCCCCAAAATAGTTTGAGCAGACGAAACAGATCACCTCTAGATGTATTTTTCATACACTAACCAATGGCAACAAGTTAAAATCTTCCACTTCTATTCCCACAATAGTGCTATAAAGTCATAACCCTTTCAAAACGCCAAGAGATGAGAATCACAATTGGAAATAAATCCTTAATTTAAACTAATCTATACTATATCAAGATGAGCTTCTACTCAACTCATTCCATAAACTCACTCCATTATGAAAACATCCTCTGTAGAAATAAATATGAGAGTCAATGACAGGAAGTCAAAAGAGTTTCTAATTAGGCTCTTAAATGTTCTATTATTAATCATGACAAACTAT